ATAAAATTAAAAAAGAATATTCTCTAGAAATTTACTATTTCCTTTAATAAATGTTAAAAATAATTATTTAATTTCTTTTTAATAATTGTTGTCTTAGGTAACAGAATAAATCAATTAACTTTTTAAGAATAGATGATTCAATTATTATATTTCAAAAATTAAATTCTTAATTAAACTATTAGTTTATAATCCAAATTAATTACATATATTACCAATAACATGCAAATTAAATTGATAATATCAAAATAACAAATAGAACACTTTATGAAACACAATAATTACCACTTTATGATTCCAACAGTTTCAACCTCCTAAATTCTTTCAAATACAGAACGATTAAGAAAAAAGTTGATTTTTAAGATTTATTGGAAGATATTGTTGTTAAAGAAATATATGAATGGAAAGATTAATGCTATATAAATTCTAGAATAATTAGACACATCCTTATTTTTATGCTCAACACTATAAAAAACACATATATTATAAATAAAATATTGTTTTATATTTATCTATTTTTATTAATAATTATCATTATTATTTATATCCCCAAATTTATATATCTTTAAATAAACTATCCCAAGTAATAAAATACTCTCCATAATTACTCAATTAACCAAATATTTATTTGTATAAAATTGAATAGATTACTTCATATTTAAATTCATCTTTTTCTATCTTTCTTAAAAAATTGACAAATGTATCGGGTTTACTCACTTAAATCTAATTTTATTAAATAAATTATAATTAAAATAATGAACAACTTTCACTACCTTAATTAACAATAATATTTTTTTTTAGTGAACTATTTACTTACACTATTCATCTCATAAATATACATCAAATTGCCATAATAAGGTTTAAATGTGAATACAATTATTGTTTATAAAGGATAATCTAAATCCATAAAAATCAACTTTGATATTTTATATTACCATCCACCTTTAACTATATTCAGAATATTCAATTACTAATATTGTTAAATCCTATCCACAAGAAATAACTTTATCTTCTTAATCCTTTAAACTTATTTAATAAACTTAAGAAGTATGATCAGTGTGATTGATTATTAACATATCCATTCTTTTTGTTTATTCCAAAACTTAATAGTATTATCCCCACTACTTGATATAAAAAGAACTTCATCCTTATTCAATATTAAACAATAAATCCTATAACTACGTCCTTTAATTTTTTATGAGTAATTCCAATAATTATTGTTATTGCTTGACCAAATTACAATAGATCCATCTCTATCTCCAGATATCAATTAATCTGATTTTTACATGAAAATTAAAGTGAATATATCTTTATTATGTTCATTCAATACTTGAATTAAATTCAGGCTTCTTTACTTGAATTCATATATTTTTATTTATTTATCACAACCAATAGCTACAATTGAATAATCTTTATTTATTTCAATTACACGACAACATTATTATTCTTTAATTGAATTAATTTAAATTATTTAATAATTAAATGGCTTTAAATTCAATTAAGAAGATGTAGATTTGAATAATTGATTGTTTTTCTATTGATTATGATGATTACTATATTAATGTATTTTATTATAATCTGAATTGAACTTGCCCTTTAATTTTTGAATTTATTAATGGTTTCAATTTTTAAATAATGTTAGATTAAAACTCAGATTACCCAATAAATTTAAATTAATTAAATTTTGGTTAAGATATTCAAATTTATGATTACTAAATTTAAAAATTGGAGATCTATTTCAATAATTAATCAATCTAATTTACTATATAATCAAAAAATGACTAAAAGATAAAAAAATAAATATATATTACATTCTAATTATCTATTTAACATTTCGTTTATTAACATTTTTCCTATTTCTATTAAAATTATTAATTAAATTATTATTAGTATTTAAAGAGAAAAATGATTTAAAATAGAGTATTTTTGAGAAATCAGCACCTTCATTAAACTAAAAATAAAAATTAATATATTTATGTATTTTTATATAT